AACCCATACGGCTCACTCCGTATTCTTGTGCAGGGAAATTGAGTTTTCAGGTCCATACGGTGAACAGCCGTTTCAATATGGGCACAAAAAAAATTGGATTTCTTTGTATTTCTCCCTTGTGATGGGACTTTGTCGGATGAAAGTTGATATTTATAAGGGCACACGGGGTGACCAATAAGGTCTGAATTGGTCTGTAATAAGGTAGGGCACTGATAAGGGTTTGACAGGTATGTAACTGCCCATCCTATAGGCGAGGTCTCCGACCCTTTCTGACACTGCAAGCCGAAACCGGTCTCGACCTTTTGCTCGTCTTGAATCAATGCTGCTGAGCTTCCGCACTCCCAGAAGGCCGTGTAAGAAATACTTTCACTGTAATATTTAGGTTTTTTACGTGTAGATGGCTGATTAGGGACATTGATTGTTTATTTTCTTACTTATAGTCTCCACCACGAGACAAATTGTTATTTGGGGTTGTTTAGTGATCATTATTAATCGTGGGGGGTGGGTGGAGCGATAGTGGATTGGTTAGTGCACTGTGCTGTGAGCGTGGCTGTCCGAGTTTGCTTCTCAGCTACGGCTAACATCAGTGGCGAGTTAATATCAGAACCACCGTTCATGCCCCGTCCCCTCACCAACTCGCACTGACCACAGTGGTGAAGTATGGTTAAGCAACCCCCATGACTGACGGAGTGTGAGAGAGGCGTTGATCCACCAAGCTCTGTAAGTTGTCAGTGTCCGTGATTGTTTTAACGTAACTTTCTGGAAGAAATTACGGCGTTCACACGTGTGCTACGGTATGCAAACCCTTACTCTTGTCGAGATACATCGTGAAACAGCGATTGTTGTTGTTGAAATGTATTGCCAATTCAGACGTGACACCGATGACCTAATTATTCGGGAGCGCGCCCCCATCTCGTCAGACCTCGCAGGCTCAGCGGACGCTGAGCCTGGATAGTCCGCGGATGGGCGACCACCAAAGCGAATGAGAGGGGAGCAGTGGGCGACATGGGCACCAGAGGGCGGTGCAGAATACAAATCCATTGGCCATCTTCCTCCTGCTCGCCCCGCACCTTCACCACCCCCGCGCACTGACCAGCACTGACCAGCGCGGTGAAGTATGGTCCAATGACCTTCGCTGCCAGCACGGCGCGCGACGCCCTTATCCAGCAATGAACCTGCACGCGTGCACAATGAACCTGCACGCGTGCACGATGAACCTGCACACGTGCACAATGAACCTACACGCGTGCACGATGAACCTACACGCGTGCACGATGAACCTACACGCGTGCACGATGATCCTGCACGCGTGCACGATGAACCTGCACGCGTGCACGATGAACCTGCACGCGTGCACAATGAACCTGCACGCGTGCACAATGAACCTCCACACGAAATGGCACGCTGTTGGTAACAATTGACGACCAATTGTGTTGCATCTCCAATTTCTAGCACTGAAGGCCTGTGACGAGGTGAGTGATGCTCTGCTGGAGCCCGCCAGGGCATCTTAGCAAGTCAGGCAGTAACCTCGCGTCTCCATCAGGGTCTCATGATTCTTGTTCGTGAACACTTAACTCCTTCCCATTCCGATGACGCGCGTGTACGCAGTCAGTTCTTCCATTCCGTTCCGATGACGTACGTGTACTACGTGTGTATGCACGTGTACGTCATCGGAACGGAATCGGAAGTAAAAGGCCACGCGGGAGGGCGCGTGGCACAGTTTAGCACCAGCTATCTTAGAGTGCGGTCGTGTCACTACAGTTCTCTGCGGCGAGTAGCAATGCCTTTAAAAACAACGGCGCTGCTACGCCTCTCTAAATAAAATTAAAGCCGAGCCGCTCGCGCGTTCTGAGATTCAGCGGTGAACGGGACCCCACCCTGCAACTTGCAGGCGTCTCGCAACGGCAAAGGGTTAAGCGGTGTTCCCTCTGCGCTGCTGCTGATGCTGCTGCGGGTGATCCACTGCGTGCCAAGTTGTCTACCTTGCAGCGGCCATGATTTTTAGCTCTCAGCGCTGGAAGAGATCCCAATTACTGAAGTGAAAAACAACATTACATGAGAGGCAACGAGGCTGAAACCGTAAACTCGCCGCGGTGCACTCGAACACCTCTTTCAATCACGGGCGGCTGAAATTGCGAATTCGAGCCCCTCGTTCTCAAATTTGTCGACCCGGCGCTCTGAAGCCACCCGACTCATAGCCGCACGGCCGCCACTGCGCGGCAAAGTCATCGACAATTGGTGAACAACAACAGCCGCCGCTATTCACCACCAAGTGGCGGTGACGTCACCACGGCGCCTGTGCCAGGCCAGGTGCACTTTGAGGCCGCGTGAAGTGTCGAAGGCTCGCTGACCGGAGGTCACGGGACAGACCCAGGTGCCATGGGTTTACTGACTGAGATGTCTGGCAGACGCATCAGCTGATGCCCCCTACTCTGCCAAATTGCTGAATTTTAGCTGCCCGGCGTTCCGCTCGTTGTTGTGAGCGTTGTTGTGAGCATCGCTCCCCTGTCCTCCGTTGTTGCTGGAGGGCGACTGCCTCTCACTGCCAGTAACAGCGTCCTTCACGAGCCTCCTCCACAGAGGCCGATCTTGACACCGCTAGTACCATTCAATGCCAATGACATTGACATTCAGTGTACACCCTCTGTAGCACCTGCAGAGTATTGTGGAATGCTGTATACACAATATATGTTTCACATTAATGTGTCCATTCATCCAGGTCCCATCAGATATTAGAAGATAAGCAGGGTTGGGGCTGGATAGCGCTTGTATGGGAGACCACCGGATGTTGCGACGGTAGAGACCAATGACAGAATGGCAGCCAAAAGGGTGGAATTTCTACTGAGATCTGACATTCACCGTGGAGATGGAGCGATGGCATCAGCTCGTGCGCAGGAGATGGTTCGATAGATTGTTGCATTGCAGGACAGTGCAGGCGTTAGGTGGATTACGAGAGATGCTGACGGCTTGCGCAGGCTTTCATCCAGCAGTGGCTTGATCGGGGCTGACGATGCTGACGAGTGGATTTGTTTGCCTTGCAGAGGAAACGCACTGATCAAGTTCAAGTGCACCCCCTCCCCAGTGCAGACAAACACGGGGGGAGGGGGGGGCACTGCGTGCTTGGGTTCAAAGGCAGGAAGCAGCCTGGAGGTGCAGGGATTTGATGGTCTCAGCTCGGACTGCACACAAATAAGTAATATTAAAAACAAACTTTTTTTTTAAAAACACGCTTTAATGAAATGTGCCGTACTAGTAATGGAAGAACTCCACGACTCCAGGAAGTGGCCCCGACGCTTGCCATAACGTAAGAGGACCGTGGTGATTTACAGCCAACGTGAGTTGAGCGTGGACAATTAGACCAAGCCTAAACATAACATATAAAAGATGTTTTAAAATATACTGTATGTTTTTTTCTATGATAGAATATAGTATTGTCATCAGTATGACATAAGTATACCAGGTTTGCAGTCGATACCACATTGGGAAGTGGGTTACAATTGAGTTACAAGATTTGAGGATACAACAACAGAGTGAGTGAAATAAAAGTGTGTAATAAACATCATCACATTCAATTTGGTTCGTTCACTTAATTTGGCAATCGGTTTGAGAGTTTCGCGAGAGACATTCCTCCCACGTGCGAGGCGAGTGAAAGTGATGCCCCCCACTGTGTGTGGACCAGAGGGGAGCGGTGGTGCAGTGGTTAGCGCTACGCTGCGCTACGAACCCGGCGACCCGAGTTCGATTCCCGCTCGCGGCCCACACCAGTGACGATTACTGGAACCCGTCCTGGGCCTCCCCTCGGTCGACTCAGCCTCAAATGAGTACCTGGTGCGGTGTGTAGTAAACATCGCCACTAGAGAGACAAAGGCGGCCGGGCGTGGTGCTGGCCACCCACCCCCTCGTGTACCATTCCGGCCTTCATAGGTGCTCGCTAACAGCACTTGCCCCAACAGTCTGTTAAGGCTATACGGGGCATCTGTGTTTGTTTTTGTGGACCAGACGTGACCTGAAGGGATCTAAGAGGTAGCTCTATGATCTCCACTTCCTCCGTCGAGATCAAAACAGAGGAAGATGGCCACAAACACACCATCTCTGACGGACTATAAACTGTAAACTAGTTTTATTTTAACAGGTAAGGTCCGCTGAGCTATAGAGCAGAAGCCATCTGGCTATCACAGATGATACCTCAACGAAAGTGGCTTATCACGTGGAAATTGACTGCAGCCAAATACTCTAAAACGGGTGGTGATGTTCATTCTAAATGTGGAGAGAAACCCCGGAGGACCCGGAGAAAAATCCACGCCACCACGGGGAGAGAGACACCGAAAACTCCAAATATACAATCGGCGTCAGGGTCTGCATCGAACCCACGACCTCCTGTATACTAGGCGAGGTAGCTAACATCTCGCCACGGAGATAGTGAGACAAGCAAACTCCAAATATACAGCAGGCGTCAGGGCCACACGACCTCCTGTGTAGCAGGCGAGGTAGCTAACATCTCGCCACGGAGATAGTGAGACAAGCAAACTCCGAATATACAGCAGGCGTCAGGGTCACACGACCTCCTGTGTAGCAGGCGAGGTAGCTAACATCTCACCACGGAGATAGTGAGACAAGCAAACTCCGAATATACAGCAGGCGTCAGGGTCACACGAGCTCCTGTGTCGCAGGCGAGGTAGCTAACATCTCGCCACGGAGATAGTGAGACAAGCAAACTCCGAATATACAGCAGGCGTCAGGGTCACACGAGCTCCTGTGTAGCAGGCGAGGTAACTAACATCTCGCCACGGAGATAATGAGACAAGCAAACTCCGAATATACAGCAGGCATCAGGGTCACACGACCTCCTGTGTAGCAGGCGAGGTAGCTAACATCTCGCCACGGAGATAGTGAGACAAGCAAACTCCGAATATACAGCAGGCGTCAGGGTCACACGACCTCCTGTGTAGCAGGCGAGGTAGCTAACATCTCGCCACCGCTGCGCTGTCTCCGCGTCTCAGGGGGAGCTGCACTGCGAGGGCGAGGGCCCCGTGCGGGTCCACGACTTCCTCTCGGCGTCGTCCGCTCACCACCACGCGGCGAGCGTCGTCGCGACCACGAGGCTGTGCGGCCACGGCGGAGCCGACTTCTTCCTCGTCGACGCCTTCATCTCCGCCGTCGCCGTGAGCGCCGCACTCCTCCAGGGGCCGTGGGCACAGCCGCTTCAGGGAACTGCATCCCAGGGGGCTTCGGATTTTTCAGGCGGCCCCCCAATAAAACTAAATATGTACCATTTATTTTGTGTGTATATATTTACACCAGGCAAGGCCCACTGAGCTATGTAGAGCTCTTTTTCAGAGGCGACCCGGCCACAAATGATAGTTTAACGAAGTGGCTTATCACGTGGACATTTATAGCAGTCAAATACTCTAAACACATGTTTCTAAATAGAAGGGGTTTTTTAGGGTTAGATCGCGTAAGTATATAAATGTGGCGTTAAAAAGTATTTTCTATTTATTTTAACAGTTCGGATAACTCGCGACTTAGTGCTGCGTGGAAGCGAATCTTCAAATAATACATTGTTTAAATGCATGCCTATACAGGCCACCAAACTTCAATAGGGATTACCGTTGGTACGGCTATTTTAATACACACAGTGGGCAGGAAGAACAAGTACAAAGGGCTCGCATAATGCACATGCATAATGTACGTTGACTCAGTAATCAGTAACGTCGTACTCATTGTAAATGTTGTGGCTTGGCTCTCCAACACACCGGTGTGGCTGTACTAGTGACGAATTGGCCACGTTCTGTTTACGTGACAACCCTTACTAGTTGACTGTGTCGGGTGGTGGCGGGTTTAACGACACATTTATATATTTACGCGATCTAACCCAAAAATAAAACCTCTGTTATGGATGATATTGGTCGCGAAAGCCTACTACGTGTTAAACCGACATGTTTCTAAATGTGGAGGGGAAAACCGGAGGACCCACAGAAAGATCCACACGACCACGGGGAGAGAGACGCACAAACTCCAAATACACGTGTCGGGGTCAGGATTGAACCCACGACCTCCTGTATACCAGGCGAGGTAGTTAACATCTCGCCACCGTGGTGCCCCGTACAGTATATAACTCACAATAATAAAATGCAATGAGGGGGCTCCCCAAAAAATATAACAACCCCGAGCCCCCCCTCAAATCTACAATGTGGCCTTAAGCATGGGCCCTGGTTCAGGAATGGAAAGGCGCCCCTCGCCTCTGTCCAACTCCCCCTCCCACCTCTCTCGTAGCCCCTGCTCATGGGGGCCCCAGTGCAGCTGCGGTGACGCATTAGCAAGACGGATTTTGACACTGGAGAGTTATAGCAAGGAGAGGCGGGGCGGCGGTGGGGGGGGAGGGGAACACGTGGAGCCAAAGTGGAACACGTGGAGCCAAAGTGGAACACGTCCGAGAGTCCCTCCACACAGAGACGACGGGGGCAATGAAATCGGTTCGCGGTGCAGGAGCGAGCTGCATCGGCGACGTCGCGAGACGGCGAGAGATGGCGACGGCTTTCGCGAGGATGAATCACGGCTGACGACGACGACGACGACGCTGACGATTGATGCCGTCTGCTTCACAGAAGAAGGAGCCGTCGCTCATCCTGACGGGGCCCGGGGAGACGCTGAGGAGCCACCTGCTGGTGTTTGCGGCGGAGCGAGCGCGGCATGAAAACCGCGTCGTCGTCCTGTGAGGGCTCGCTCACCCACTCGACCGCTCGCCCGCTCACCCACTCACCCGCTCGCTCACCCGCTCGCTCACCCGCCCGCTCACCCGTTCGCCCGCTCGCTCACCCGCCCGCTCACCCGCTCGCCCGCTCGCTCACCCGCTCGCTCGACCGCTCGCCCGCTCGACCGCCCGCTCCTCCCGTACCAGCGCCACTGACAGAGCCGTCTCCCTGGCACTCTATAAACTCCAAAAGTATTTTTATTTAACCAGGTAAGGCCCAAGAGCTGTTTTCCAGGAGCGACCTGGCCGTAACCAACGCTGGCTCAACGAAGTGGCTGACCGTCACGTGGACATTTTATCGTAGCCGAATACTCTTAAGCGCGTGATTGTCGATTCGTTAACGTCGAGGGAAATAAACCGGAGGACCACCCGGAGAAAAATACACGCGACCACGGGGAGAGACAAAGACATGGAAACTCCAAATATACAACGGGCGTACAGGGTCGCGATGGAACCGACGGCATCCTGTACCCACCAGGCGAGGTAGTTAGAATCTTGCCACCGTGGTGCCTCCTCACCAGCGGCAGGCTCAACGCAGGGCACGCAGCACGATCGTCGCTCCACTTCAGGGAGCTGTGGGGAATTTTTGATTGGGACGCTCGCAACTCTTCCGAGATCGTCTGAGCGTCGGCTACGGGGCACGCGCGAGGTGGGGAATCTTGTCCTTACTGAGGGCCGAACAGGATGTTTAAACACCGGTGGCTAGGAGATGTTAACTACCTCGCCTGGTCTGCAGCAGGTCGTCGGTTCGATCCCGACCCTGACACCTGCTGTCGATTTGGAGTTTGCGGTGTCTCTCTCCCTGTGGTCTCGTGGATTTTTCTCCGCGTCCTCCGGTTTTTCCCTCCACATTTGTAAACATGCATTGAGAGTATTTGTGCTGCAATACATTATTTCCACATGGCTAAGCAGCTTCATTGGGCTATCATTTGTGAGTCAGGTCACTTCTGAAAGAGAGCCTTACAGCTCAATGGGCCTTACCTTGTAAAATAAAAAAATAGTTTTTTTTTATTACCCCCATATACAGCTCGCCCAACTCCATCACTGCCGTCACTGCAAGAGGCGCTTGCAGCGACAGCAGTGGCTGAGTGCCCGCACGTTACAAGTGCAGCATTGTTGCCAGAATTGGAAATATTCTTCCTCCTCCTCGTCTTTCCTTCTGCTTCTTCTTCCTTGATTTGAAGCTTTCGTGACTGCAGGAGTTACTCTTTGGTTCTTTCGGTAAAGTCACGTGTGGAAAGAAAACAAATTAAATTATAGAGTACGACGTTTCGATTGCAACACAAGCAACCGTCATCAGGTAGAACTACATTTGTGTGTCTGTCTGTGTGTCTCCGTCTCTGTGTTGTGTCTCTCTCTCAAATTTAGTTCTACCTGATGACGGTTGCTTGTGTTGAAATCGAAACGTCGTACTCCATCATTTAATTTATTTTCTTCCTACGTGAACTTTACCGAAAGAACCAAAGAGCAATTCTTCTTCCTCCTCCCTCCTCCTCCCTCCTCCTCCCTCCTCCCACTTCTTCTTCCCGTACGGCTACTCATGTCGATGCAGAGGCAACGACTACAATTTCACATCCAGGTGGTCAAGCCAGCAGATAACCGCGTCAGGAGCAGCGGCGGCGGGGAGTGTCACCGATGTGACGATGTCTCCTCCTTCGTATTTGTGGATCGGGCAAATGATCCCCTTCTAGTACCCAACTGGTGCAACTGAGACGCTATCAGCGATGGACGTACGCGGCTTGCGGGCCGTGTCGACGCGTTCGGCCTCGTGTGGTCGCGGCCCGTGTGGAGCGAGGCGGTTTGGTTGTACTCCCCAGCCAACCCTGTGGCACGAAGTGAGGTCAATATACGGGGGCGATTCTCGTTTCTCTCGGCGAATCCTCGTAGAGCCAGCGGAGGACGTTTCCCGCATTCCCATGGTAAAGACCTGTCTGTTCATGGTGTCGATCGCTTTTGACTTTCCAAAGGAGATGTACTCCCGTATAGTGGCAGTGAAGATTAAATAATGTTCACTGCCATTATCTTGCTTCTGAAAGTGCTTTACTGTGCATAGACAGGGTGGTCCAGATGCCTTGTGACCCCAAATTAATTGACCCATAACATTTTTTTGCCTTCGCATATTAATTTCTATATTTCTGTTTTAAATAAACCTTACTTTTAAAAACATTAAGTTTTATAGAATTGGATTGGGGGGGGGGGGAGGGTGTCACAATACATCTGGACCACGCTGTAGCTAATCACTTGGTGTTCGACCAGGGAGATGTTTTTGTTGTGGTGTTCAGAATCGATGGCTTCAGATCAAGTCCAAGTATCTATCTCCACGCTCAACCGAGTATGACATCTCCATTCGTGGCGGAAATGCCCACGTTCCCATGGCAGGGGGCGAGTCGTGTCCACTGAACATCCACCTTTCATCTCTCCCACAAGTGGTGCAGAGTGGACCCGCGACTGACCTTTGAATTGATGACCTTTGAATTGATGACCTTCCAGTCGTGGGGCCGGCAGCACCGGTCAATAACGTGGGAGCGCGCCCCTTGAATGTGCTTCTAGTACCAAATGATGTCGAGTCTTAAAAAACAAACAACGGGGGGATGCTTTGGGTTCAATCGGAAATAAAACTTGCAATAAATATGGGGGGGGGGGGGGGTGGAGATTTTCTTGACGGTTAATTTTGATGTAGCCTTGATTCTACTGCCGTTCAAAACGTGGTCGTCAGGAACATGCGACGCGTTCACTATTTTCACAGGGGAATCTGGGTGGTGGTGGTGGCGGTGTTAATATTGAGATTGTCATTCACGTTTGTACGGTTTGTCTTGGGGGTGGGGATAAAGGTGGTTGTGGAAATTGTTTAGAGTTGGGTGTGTTTTATTTTTTTTTAAATCAATGTACGCTACCCACAATTGCTATTGTTTGCGCTATTTTACTGACAACGGCAACACTTTATTTCTCACACGTCATCGAATCCCATTACATCTCTCAAGGAAATGTCGCAGGGAATTGATCACGTACGAGTATTATTATTGATATTATTTCCACGGTGGTAATTAATTTTCCCCGATTCATTCGCTTCTGGATGATGGCTTCTCACGATCATGCCATCGCATCATCCATCTCGCTTCCGCACGTCAGCTGTGTCCTGGTCGCTCCATCTCCACGGTGGTTAACCTCTTCAGCTGTGTTCCCTCAAAGCAACAATCATTATAATTATTATTGCAACTTGGCCGCGACCCTCACCATGACAAGCGGATTGAGCAACGAGCGAACGAACGATTATTTCAAGCTGTAACGCACCACCACAGCATTTGCTCACGCTTGAGAGAGAGAGAACGACTCGGGAAGAATGAGGAAGCAGGCGGGGAGAGAGGCAGCCACGCGGTCAGCCGATGCCCAAGCTCTGCTGCCCTCGACATATGAAAGTGTTATTCATGAGCCCATATAACGTGGGAGGAAACTGGAGCAACCACCCGGAGGAAACCCACGCATGCAAGGGGGCAACACTGTATCCCATACAGACGGAACAGGCCAATACCCCGTTCCATCACGCTGTTGGCACCTAAGCGCTCACGGGAAGGGTTGTTTCACGGCATCCGTGCAATCCACCAACCCTCGCCCCCCACACAGTGCCAGATTAGAGGCATGCGCCGCCGCCACCACCGCCACCACCACCGCCACCACCACTGTCACCACCACTACCACCACTACCGCCGCCACCGTCACCACCGCCACCACCGCCACCTCCACCACTACCGCCGCCACCACCGCCACCACCACCGTCACTACCACCACCGTCATCGCCACCACCGCCGCCACCACCACTACCGCCACCACCACCATCACTGCTACCACCGCCACCACCACCGCCACCGCTGCCCGGCGTGATGACGGGAGACAGTGAGACCCGATCGCGAAGGCCGTGTGTCGGCTCTGTGTCAGCTGCGAGATCCGGCAGAAGGAAGGAGGCTCTGGTGGTGAGACCATCGGGGCAGCATCGGCAGATCTTCTCTGCGCTCTCGAGGTGCGTGCGGTGGCCGTGGGGGCGTTCACGCCGCTCGCCTGCAGGTGGCGCCGGTGCAGCGCTGCGAGTGCACCGATAGCAGCTGGGGCTGAACGATTAATCGATTTCTAATCGAAATCGCTATTTGAAACAATGCGAAATAGCAAATCGCAAAGGCTGCGATTTTTTTGCGATTTGAAAAGTCCTATTACTTATTGGAATTGTAAATTTGTATTATAACTTTATTTATTTAACTTAACAATTGTTCTATGTTCGATAGTTCTATTTCAATTAAAACATTTTAATAAATGTATGTTGGAAGCAATGAATAACTTTTAAGGTCTCATCCTTGCATTAGAATATATAGAGCAGTTCATATTGTGATGGTATCACGTGGTAATGCTCCATCACATGTTGTAAATCTATTACACAGTCAATATTGAACTGACGCTTGACTTAAACATTTTTAATCGCAAATCAAAGCGCAATCGCAATATCTGTCTGAAAAATCGCAATTAGATATTGTCCCCAAATCGTTCAGCCCCTAATTATTCGCAGCTGCGCTTGGCTTCTCAACCTGGTCGGGAGGCTTCGACGACAGCGGTTGAAGCCAACATTCAAGAACAATTCTAGATTTCAAGAACAATTCTAGATTTCAAGAACAATTCTAGATTTCAGGAACAAGCCGCGCTAGTGCGGCCTGCGGGCCCATGCAACTCAAAGTACTGACCACATTGTGGGACCACTTTGTGGGCTGCGCTTCCTGCAACGGAGGAGGAGCGGAAAGACGAATAGGAACTCTGTCTCTCTCCTGAAGCCCTCTCGTCGTGGCCAGAAGCAGACCTTGACACTGGCTGGTTGCATCTCGCTCCTGAACATATTTCAGTTTCATGTATTAGGTATAACCCTGTGAGCCATGCGGCTCTTGACTCGGGTGCAACCGCAACAAAACACAAACATGAACAAAGAACATCTTAAAGTGACTACACGCAACAGAAAATCCAGGGAAAAAAACAGCAAAGTCTTCCAGAAAAAATACCGTATTTCAACGCTGTGTGCAAAAATCCCAGTGGGATGCAAGTCAAACAATAACAACCATAAGACAATTCAGATTAAAGTTATCAGGCTAACTCTGTACTACAACGAACAAACATGGCCAAACCAAAACGTTTTCAAAATCACCACAATAAAGCTATAAAAATAATGTAACAGTGATTATAGGAACTGTGATTCAAATTGGTCGTGCATGAGTCACTCCATAACAGCAGGAGTATCAATAGCAGAATCAAAAGAATTCAATACACCTTTAAAGATCAGCACACTAAAATCAAAACTCAAGCTCATACTTTGCAGCGGTCATCCTGAATGATACATTTGATTTCAGGCCATTCTGTAGAGCAGTGGCAGCTAGAACATATTGCTGCTGCCATCATACGCAGGGCATAGACTAGAACTACCGTGGTGCAAGCGAATACATAAGCAACTCTGCACGTAAAGAAAATAAAATGGCATTTCTTGCAGCAGCATTGTCTTGAAACAATCAGGACGAAAGTATTCACTCCCAGTGTGTACAGCTTATGGGATGTGTAAGGGGAAAAAATATAGAAATACTGTTTTTTTATGTGGAGAGACGGATACAGGAAGTTAGACGTTGTTTATATTCTCCACAGCGATACTGATGATTGTTGTGGGTTATGTACGATACAAGTTGGGTGCATATTGTGTAAATATGTACTTCCGGTAACATATCAAGGCGCTGAACGGAAACAGTGGCCACAAGTCAATGAGTCATTTGTTTTAAAAGCCGTATTCTAATGTATGTGCTATGTTGAACTTCATAATAAAGGTTTTTGGGTTAGATCGCGTTTATTTATAAATGTGTCGTAACCCTCCACCACCCGACACGGCCAATCAGCAAAAAAAGTGTCACGTTGACAAAAGACAAATAATTCACTACTTTAGCCCACCGGTGTGTTGAAGAGTGAATCAACACACAGGTGGGCTAAAGTAGTGAATTATTTGTCTTTTGTCAACGTGACACTTTTTTGCTGATTGGCCGTGTCGGGTGGTGGAGGGTTACGACACATTTATAAATAAACGCGATCTAACCCAAAAACCTTTATTATGAATAATATTGGTCGCGAAAGCCTACGTGTTAAACTATGTTGAACTTCTTTTGCACCGTACGTAGGCAGCCTCGTTAATCGGAGGTGCGGGGTAAGGAAAACAAACTAAACAAACAAAAAACTGTTCTAAAGAGATTCGTTCTCAATCAAGATGATTTAAAAGTGCATAGCTCCAGTGGCTTCGTAATATCGGAAGGAAGAGCGTTCCAGACGGCCGCAGAAGCGCATCTGACGTCCACACAAAGGGACGATGAATTGAGTCAACCCTCCGTCATCCGGGATTTGAACTCGCGAACCTTGCTACTGCGAGCCGCTCGCTCTGTGGCGTTGAGCTGCCTGTGGCTGGATGCCAAAACTTTCACGTTGCTATTGGAACAAATGATACGGTGGTGATGATGGTGGTGATGATGGTGTTGATGGTGATGGTGGTGATGATGGTGGTGATGATGCTGGTGATGATGGTGGTGATGATGGTGGTGATGATGGTGGTGATGGTGGTGGTGGTGATGATGGTGATGATGATGGTGATGATGGTGGTGATGATGGTGGTGATGATGGTGGTGATGATGGTGGTGATGATGGTGGTGATGGTGATGGTGGTGATGATGGTGGTGATGATGCTGGTGATGATGGTGGTGATGATGGTGGTGATGATGGTGGTGATGATGGTGGTGATGGTGGTGGTGATGATGGTGATGATGATGGTGATGATGGTGGTGATGATGGTGGTGATGATGGTGGTGATGATGGTGTTGATGGTGATGGTGGTGATGATGGTGGTGATGATGCTGGTGATGATGGTGGTGATGATGGTGGTGATGATGGTGGTGATGATGGTGGTGATGGTGATGGTGGTGATGATGGTGGTGATGATGCTGGTGATGATGGTGGTGATGATGGTGGTGATGATGGTGGTGATGATGGTGGTGATGATGGTGGTGATGGTGGTGGTGATGATGGTGATGATGATGATGGTGATGATGGTGGTGATGATGGTGGTGATGATGGTGGTGATGATGATGGTGGTGATGATGGTGTTGATGGTGATGGTGGTGATGATGGTGGTGATGATGCTGGTGATGATGGTGGTGATGATGGTGGTGATGATGGTGGTGATGATGGTGGTGGTGATGATTGTGATGATGGTGATGGTGGTGGTGATGATGGTGGTGGTGATGGTGGTGATGATGATGGTGATGATGGTGATGATGATGGTGATGATGGTGGTGATGATGGTGATGATGGTGGTGATGATGGTGGTGATGATGGTGATGATGGTGATGATGGTGGTGATGATGGTGATGATGATGGTGATGATGGTGGTGGTGATAGTGGTGATGATGGTGATCATGGTGGTGATGATGGTGGTGATGATGGTGATGATGGTGGTGATGATGGTGATGATGATGGTGATGATGGTGGTGATGATGGTGATGATGATGGTGGTGATGATGGTGGTGATGATGATGGTGATGATGATGGTGATGATGATGGTGATGATGATGGTGGTGATGATGGTGATGATGGTGATGATGATGGTGATGATGATGATGATGATGGTGATGATGGTGATGATGGTGATGATGATGGTGATGATGGTGGTGATGATGGTGATGGTGATGATGGTGATGATGATGATGGTGTTGATGGTGATGATGGTGATGATGATGGTGATGATGATGATGAAGGTGTTGATGGTGATGATGGTGGTGATGATGATGGTGATG